CCGCGTTTCAACGGGCTCAGAACGCGGTCACCGTTGAGCGTAATTTCTTCCCCGCGATGGACGGATTCCTTCGGCGCGCCCTCTGGGAAACGTACGATACCTCACCGCCACCCCCCCCCTCCGGAAACTTCTCCCGGGCTTTGCACGCTATACGTATACCGGTAGAAAAGAGACGACTGGACACGACTTGAGCTCTCGGAAAAACGTGCCGCGCGTAAAAACCGAAGCGAGTTTACTAGGAAAAAACGCGTCCGCAGACCGGCGAGAAGGAAAGAGGGCGTGGGGGGGGGGGTAAATCACGGTAAAGCCGACGGTCCCGCCGCCACGCTCGGTATCTGAAACGGAGACGATACTGCCGGAGCGTGGCGCGCCAGCTAGCGACAGTCGCGCGCATCTCGGTGAGCGATACGACCCGAGAGGCCGCGTGATTTTTCGACGGTTTTTTCCGTCGCGACGCGACCCGCGAAACCACAACGTGCCCGGGGGGAAAAGAATAGAAAAAAAAAATGAAAAACGAAAAACAATAACTGCATTCTCGTTTGAAGCGCTCTCGCCTCACCGCCCGCGTCCCCGTCGCGCCGTCGGCCGTAACCCGTCCGTCCGTCCGCCCGTGTGCCGCCCGCGAGCGCGTAATTTCCGCGTGAGAACGGCCGGACGACCGGCGTCCCGGGATTCCGGCAACGGTCGTTAAACGGCAATTGAACGTCCGCGGGACGCGCGTCGTCATCGGCGATTATCGCCGTGCGTCCGGCCCCGGCCGTATACGCGAATATCCGCGGCAATAGGTAACAATCGCGCGCGGCACGCGTAAAAATGCGAATTCGCACGGCCGGGCACAGTGCGCATTGGGCACTCGAATGGACGGTTATTGTTAATGCGCGGGTTTCTCGGGACGTGCGCGCAGGAACACAACAGATTAGTGGCGCGGTTGTCGCGGTAATTATAATGCGTTTACCGGCGTTCGGCCGCGCGGTTAGTCACGACAACAACAATACCGTATGCCACCGCGGCGGCATTGCGATAATAAAAAACCGGACGCGTTTTTTTTTCGCACACCCCTCCCCCCGCTCGCCACCGGGTACACGGCGGCGCGCGGTTTTTCCGCCGGGCGCGGATCGCGGAGGGGAGTGGTGGTGGGTGGGGGGGATCCGTTGTCCGCGTCGCACGTTTCTAGGTAGTTTTTTTTTTTTTTTTTTTTTGTTCACTACGTAAACGTACGCGCGGACGTGCGCGTTTGAAAAGAACACTTTCCCACAAGCGCTGGTCACCGTGTTGCGTTTCACAGCTTTTTCGCCAACACCCGTGTACCGGGGAGGGGGACTAGAATTTTTTTCTGCGAAAAAGACATATGCAATAAACTATAAGACATGGTACAGTTTTGGTGTGTTACGGAAAACTCGATTTTTTTTTTTTTTTTCAAATCGATACGACACAATAACGACGTACACAATTGACATGAACACAAATATATACACGAGTATTGTATAATATGATCGCGGCAGGAGGGTTTGTCGCGCGGACGTGTTTTCCGATGCGTACGCGGGTCGCGTCGATCTGCGGCGTCGCGGTACCGCGCGATACTATTGCCCCCGACCCCTCCCGCTAGCCAATCGCCCCCCCCCCCCCCCCCCCCGCCGCGGCGATACGCGTACGAATATTATCGTCTCGTGTGCGCGCCCGTCCGAAGCCGGGCCATAACAGTCGGCTGTTTATACGCGAAAGAAAACCGATAAAAACAAACGGCGGACATACCTCGCGCGCATCGCGACATTAAAATAAAACCCGACGGCGAGCGACAACAACAGAAAAAATAAAAAAAAAAAAGGTAGAAAAAGACGTAACTCGAGAACGCCGTAAAAAGACGTGCTTGACGATTTTCATTCCGTAATATATATTTTATGTACACGCCACGTTCTCCGCCGCCTTCCACGGGCTCCTTCGTTTTTACGCGTTTTCACACGTCGTTTTGTCGCACTGCAGCGGTCATTGTGCATCGTCGTGTACCCGAAACGGCGTTTTATAGCCGCGACATTATGCAGAAGCGTAATATGTGTTTCGGCCGGATGGTATTTCTTCTTCTTTTCGTTGCCTACGCAATTTATTACAATAAACGCGCGCCTAAGCGCAGACGACCGCGTAATGCACGCGTATACTCGACCGATCCGCCCGGTTCGTTTTCGCGTCAATAATCCCGTTTGTGTGCGGAGAGAGCGTCCTGTATACACATACGAAACAACGGCACGTACCACGAGTTTTCTTTCCTCCCCCCTCCATTATCATATACTCCTCGTAGCTTTTGCACCGGTTCTTTTTACCGACATTCATTTTTTTTTCGCCGGACTCCTCGGAACACTACCGCGCGCTCGCATTATCGTTCGCTTCTTCTTCTTCTCCCCCCCACCTCCTTCGATTATCCACCGCCGCTATATCGCTCCCCTTTCCCCGAATAGATCCGGGTCGGGAGCTCGGGGGATGGGGGGGGGAGGGCGTGTCGGGGAGGAAAAAAAAACCCGCGCGCCCGCGTTGTACCGCGCACATACGGTGCGATGTATTATAACGACGTGCGCGTCGCATACACGCGCGGCGTTTTGCGCGACCGGTGTTTGCAAACGTCGTCATCAATACGTGTGTGTGTGTGTGTGTGTGTGTGTGCGCGTGCGTGTGTGTGTGTATTTATACACGTGTACCGTTACCGTTGTGGTTTTCCGATCGGGACGTAAACGATTGGTACATACGCGAACGCGGGCCGTTCGTTGTTAACGCGTGTTCCGCGTGCGTACGAACGCGACGCGCTATAAATCGTCGAGTGAATATAGAAAGAGAGAGAGAGAGAGAGAGAGAAAAGCGTTTACCGCACAAATGTAAACGCGCGTTTTGAAAAAAAAAAAATTTTCTATTTTTATTTCGCTCTTTATTGTACGGGCGTCGACTGACGATTTTCCGCGACGTATACCGCGGTGTTTATCGTAAGCCGCGCGAAAATAAACGCGAATCGTTTAGGAAATACGCGCGCGGGACGGAAAGTGTTCCGCGGTTAAAAGCGTACGCGGACCTGGTCAGAGGCCGCGTTTGGGAGGGGCGCGATCGCGCCGGGCGGTAGGTGGACGAGTGGACGGGGGAGGGGTTAATGGAGGGGGGGAGGTTTGCAGATTTTTGGTGGGCGGTCCTGGAATCCGTCCCGATCATAGTGTACATTTGAGCGTGCCCGCGGTACGGTACGGTTCCGTTATCGCGCGCACACCGGCGGCGACTGGTCGCAGACCTTTATTATTTATTTTTTTTCTACACGGGGCCGCAAGGGAAATTCCTCGCGGGCCGGGAATTCGAAATTTATCGTTATTTCGCTGCGCGTACACTACTGCAGGCGCAGTCGTTCGTTACGTACCGGCCGGTTGTAAACGAGGAAACAGAAAAAACCGCAAAGTACGCGAACGATACATTTGTTGAGCGCGCAGCGTTCCCGCGGGTGTCGATTTGTGGAATTCGAAGCGATTTCCGTTCGACACGATGCGTCGTCGGCGGCCCGGACGATAGACGACCGTGCGTAATTGTCCGCTCTCGGTTGTCGTACACACCCGCGCCGCTATGAACCGTACGCCCGGCGCGCGGGGTTGGTCGGAGAGACCGGCGCCCGGACAGATTCGCCGCGACCCTCGCGCCCAATAGGCCGGAACGCGTTTGTCGCCGGGGGGAGAGGGGGGGGAACAGGGGAAGGAGTTTGATGGGTAAAAGCCGTCGGACGGCGCGGACGACGCGACCGGTCGCGTTTTTTTACGGCGCCGCGGCGGAAAACGAGCGCCGAAATAGAACGCGGCTTCCGGTCGTCAGACGGATGTCACGCCGCGTCGGAACGGCCGGTTTTTCCCGGTTCCGATAGCGGCCGACCGGACACGCTGCGTACCGTTCGCATCGCGTTGACGGCGGGACGCAACGCCTTGTTCAGCCGTGTGCGCGCGCGCGCGTGCGGCCGTTTCGCGATAAATTGTGCGCGGTCGACGTCGTTTTTTCGCGGTTTCGATCGCGCGCGGTCGGGTATAAAACGCACACGGTCACGCGGTAAATTCGTTCGTTTTCATTTTATCCGGGCGGGGTCGCCCGGCCGAGGTGTTTGCCTGTCGGACGACAGCGGTACGGCCGATGGCGAGGCGTTTTCGGATTTTACCGCGTCGGTTCCGCGCGTCCGTTGTCGCCCGGTATCGATTGGGAACATTCGATACGGCCGAACCGGTGTCTCGCGGTGAGAAAGTCGCTCGTTGAAACGGCCGGCCCCGCGAACCGTGTCGCGTCCGACTCGTAGCGGCTCCCGACGCGCTTACGGCGGCGCGCGCAGTGATACGCAACACGACCGCGCGTATCCGTGTCAATATTATTGGCATAACAAACGTTCGTCGACAACCCCGCGCGGATAAATTGTGCGTGCGCGCGCGCGCGCGCGTGTGTGCACGGGGTACGCGAACGCGGCGGCGGGCGGGCCGAACGGAAAGAGCGGCAAAAAAAAAAAAATAATAATAATAATAATAATAATAAAACCGTAATAATAAAAGAGGGGAAAGCGGGAGAGGAGAAAAAAAAAAAAACAAAACAATACGGCGGCGACGACAATAATAATATAACAACATTATACGCGCGTATATTATATTGTCACGGGTGTGTATGTACATAATGGTATTATGTACCTTACCGCAGGTATATAATACCTACGGATGTACAACGGGCGGCCGCGGGGGGCGGAGGGAACCGACGAAAACCGGGAACCGCGGTGCGGCCGGCGGTGGGGAGAAGACAAGGGGGACGCAGCTGCGCGGCCGGCGACGCCGACAAATGGTGTCCGCGGACGGCCGGCGCGCGCGTCCCGCGGTCGCGCCGCGAACCGTCACGGCGGGCGCGGGCTGGGCGTGGCGCCGCCGCTGCCATTGGTCGGGGGCGTCGTCGGCGCGGTCCCGACGGCGCGCGGCCGCGGCGGCGGCGGTCCACTCGGAACTCCGGTGCCCGACCGCGATCAGTCTCCAGACACAACACGTACCGTTTAGACGCGCGCGCTCTCGTCGCGTTCACAATCGTCTTGCCGTCCGATATTTCATGCCATTATTATTTCGCGCGTTTCGCGTTCGCAGTGCGTGCAATTTAGTATCGAACGTCATATGCTATCTCCTCGTACGGTACTGTACACCGTTGGATTGATCCGTGCGTTTTCCTCCACGACATTTCGCGGGTCGATTTTCGTTTCTCCGGTTATTTACGCGAACGGCGCCCCGGGGTTACTGTTACGGGGCTCAATCGTTGCGGAGTGAAAATCTGCACGCAACGCGTTACAACGTCCGTCCCGTCACTGACGCCATTCCGACATTCGCCCCGTTAAAATGGTGACCAAATCGTTGAACGGGCCGAGTTTCACCATCAACCACATCCTGGGCCGCCTGGACGTGGACGACGAACGGGACAACGACATCAAGAGTCCCGGGCCGTCCACTTCGCGGTCGTACACGACCGGCAGCGAGGCCAGCGACTGTTGCAGCGGCGACGACTGCTTGTGCGCGCCCGTCGACTACAGCACGCGGCCGGGCGGAAGTCCGTCGCCGCCGACGACGCCGAGTCACCGCCATCACCAGCAGCACCGTCGCGGCGCCGGGCCGCCGTCGTCCGTCTCCGATAACCGCGGGCCGAAATCGCCGGGCATCATCGACGTCGGTGACGACACGGACGCCGACGGCGCGTCCGCCACCAAGGACGACTCGCCTTGTGGCAAGGAGGGCAAAAAAGACGCGGCCGCCGCAGCCGCGGACGACAAGAACAAAAAGCCCAATTACAGTTATAACGCTCTGATCATGATGGCCATTTCGGAGAGCCCGCAGAAGCGGCTCACGCTCAGCGGCATCTACGAGTACATCATGACCAAGTTCCCGTTCTACCGGATGAACACGCCCGCCTGGCAGAACAGTATCCGGCACAACTTGTCGCTGAACAAGTGTTTCGTGAAAATCCCGCGGAGTTTCGACGACCCGGGCAAAGGCAATTACTGGATGATCGACCCGAACAGCAGCGACGTGTACATCGGCGGCACCACCGGCAAGCTCCGCCGGCGGTCCACGCAGTCGTCCCGGCACCGCATCGCGTACCGGCCGCCGATGCCGCCGCACGTGGTCATGTCGCCGTCGGCCCATCACCACCATCACCATTCGCACGCGGCCGCGGCTGCAGCGGCGGCCGCGGCCGCCGCCGCCTTTTACCATCACCGCGGCGGGCCGCCTCATCATCCGGCCGCCGCCGGATGGCCCGGCATGACCGATTACCCGTCTTCGGCCGCGGCCACCGGTTTCGACTACCTCCACCAGTACTTCTGGCCGCCCGTTTCCACTTCGGCCGCCTACCAACAACACCAACAGCAGCAGCAGCAGCAGCAACAGCAACAGCAGTCCGCGGCTCAGTCGCCCGCCGCTCCGATCACGTCCACCGGTTACTCGATCAGCCAGTTGCTCAGGCCCACCCTGCAGGTGCCGCCCAAAAGGCCCACGGCCGTCATGCACCCGGCCGCCGCGGCCGTGGCCGCCGGAGCCTTGCTCCAGGCGTCCATGGGCCGACACCAGTAGTGGTACGAGGTTGACGCATACATAATGTAAGGGGAAAAAAATTGTTTTTTTTTTTTTTTTTTTTAAAAAAAACTATATTGTAACGTTAAGCACGAAAACGCTTTTTTTCCCCGCCAAGTTACCTATTTAATATTTTATATTACGCGCACAGTTATAAACATTACGGTGTACCGAGTTTCCCGTCCTTGTCGCGGACCGCAGAGTACACGCACGCATTTTATTTGTTTTTTTTTTTTTTGTCTTTAGCTGATCTCTCGGAAAACGCATCGTATCGTAATTTGTACGCATACAAATGCATTGTCTACGTTTTATTTTTCGGTCCGCGTACGTCGTCGTAACGTGTGTTGACCACGCGCGTAAGCATCACGCGTACCCGTCGCATAAAAATCGTATTGCATGTTCGGTTGAAATTCCGTTTTCCCCGCGCGCGTAACGACGTGACATTTCGCTGCGTATCGCGTTGGTGCCGTTAACGAAAAACGCGATAAAAATCGTCGGGTTCTAGTCACGCGGGATCGGCGTCTGTAGTAAACGTTTGCGCGATATTCGCGTGCCCGTCGGAACTTTTCGGAAAAAAATTCAATCTTACCTACCTATACATACACGTACACGTATGTACGTATGTAAACGCGTTATTGTCGTAGAGAAAAAACAAACGGTCGGACCGCGATCCGACATTTCCTATGCGTTATTGTTATTGTTGCGTATTTGTATAATTGTGTCTGTTGTTCGGAGTAAAAAACAAAAAAAAAAAAAAAATTATAAATTAAAAAAAAAAAAAAAAAAAACATTATTATAACAGTGTATAGCGTTTTTATAAGATTTTACTCTATATTATTATATTATCATTTGTGTTTACGCGCTTATTACTATTGATTATTTGACGTATCTGTTATCGGATATATTTATTTATTTATTTATGTATATTTATACGATATTATGTACGATGTATAGTATTTTTATTCGATTGTTGTCGTTATTATTAATTATCACAACGATAAGTATTACCTATAACTATGAAAAAAAAAAAAAAAATGAATAAAAATGATGATAATAAACGATATTTTATTACGATATATTATTGCGTGCAGTTATTTATTTATTTGTCGTCGTTCGTTTACTTTACGAAAAAAAAAAAAATAATAAAAAATACTGTTGACGGTTGAGTGACGGTCGATCGGCGCCGTAATTATACGGCCGAAGCGACGATTAATTGAAAAACGATTCTGAGCGCCGGTACAGCACGCGACACGGTAATCCGGCACCGGTATCGCGTTTAATTGGCCGTAATTTGACGCTTGCCGCGCACCATCACACGCTTCAAATGCGTACGGGCGGCGCAGACCCGTGTCCGATTCGCGGCAGATAATTTTGAAAATCTGTACGAATGCCCGCGGTTTGTGTTTTCGAGAACAGACATTTTGTATGTATCGGTAACACGTAAAAAAAAAAAAAAAATATCAAAAAATAACCTAATTTCCGTTACGATACGACTCCGTGTACGTGCGTAGAGATAAAAAAAAAAAAAAATTCAGTTTTTCGAGTTTGGTCGAAAAACAAACGGGAAACTTTCGCGTAAAATACGCGCGGTGATGTTATACGCGGTCTATTATACGAAACGTGCGCGTCGCGCAGACACCGGATCACCGCGGTCCGGTGAGTAATACACGAAAATATCCGATTCGTAAAAAAAAAAAAAAAAAAAATCAAAATTAAAACGCAATACAATGCAAACTCGTCGGTACGACGGCGCGCTGAGCGTGTTTCGTTTCGTTTCTATCTGTACGCGATACGGACCGCAGTGCGGCACGGGGACGACGTCCGTTTTTTAACGCGTTCCGCGCCGGAACGAGAAACAAACAAACCCAAATACCTATGCTAACGCGGACGGACGGTATATTTAAATGACGGGGGTTTTTTTTTTCCAACGGGCGCTAAATCGCCGCCGCGGAAATCGGCGCGTACAAACGGTCGCGCGGCATGGGCGCAACTAGGGTAAAATTTATGGGAGCGCTAAAATCTAAAGCACAACACGAGAACCACCCCCTACCCCTCTTGTTTTAGGCAAAATTATTTTATGTATATACAAATTTAATGTTTTTAAACAATCATTCAACAATCGAACATAAAAAAAACCAATTCAGCATATCACAGTATAAATGTATTAAACAATAACGCTCATATTATAACAAATTAATTTTTCTATTATTAGTTGAATGCGAACTTATTTAGAATTTTTTCATTATCAATGTTATTTGTAATGTCTCTTTCAATACATATTGAAGCTAGACTTGTAAATCGATTTTGCCCCGTGCTTGTTCGAAGCCGATACTTCACTCTTCGCATGGCTGAAAAAGATCTTTCACACGTAGCTGACGATACGGGTGTTGTGATTGCAACTTGAATCGATTTATTGTAAATTTGGATAAACATTCGTTTGCTCCTTATCGCGATTTATTTTTAGCATAAATCGCCCGAACGCCGATGATATCCCCGCCCCCTTCCCCGTACATCGTCCCTGGCCATTAGATTGTTATTGTAAATTATTTTTCGCTATTGAAACCGAGCGCGCTATTTATTGAGACGTGATATCAATTTACGTGTTTCCATGTCACCTATACCCGCGGGCCATCTATAGTACATTTAATCTATTGATACTGCTGCCATTATAAAATCAACGGCGGTTGTTGAACGTTGGCCGGGAATCTAGGAAGAAATAAAACCCGTTGGCCATTGATTCTACGTGTTGCGTACGCGGTACATTTCGATAGGCAATAAACCCAATTTAATAAACGCATTTGATGTTTCCATTGACCGCTGCAGGTTAAGATAAATTAGAAAAACAATATTTTGATGATTTACCAAATTTTACCAGTCAATTAATTATTATTTATAAAATCACAAGTGTTACCGTTACCGATAATGTAAAAAATCAGTACAGAAAATTTGTGAGTGCTAATTTCGATTTCGGGAGTGCTAAGCGCTCCCAAGCCTCTCCCCCCCCCTCCCCTCGTTGCGCCCTTGTCGCGCGGGAATCGCATCGGCGGCCGTACGCGCGTGACCGTAGGTCGGCGGTAACCGTCGCGCGAACCGCAGTGCGCCACGGCGGAACCCGGCGGCGCACGCGACGGTCGCGCCGGCGATTGGCCCCGTGAACGTTTCCGTCCGAAATCTCGAACGTCCGCCGTCCCGACCCCGTAACGGTCGCCGCGCGCGCGGATGAATCTATAGCGGACCACGCCGGAAACGGCAATCCGCGCCGACGAATACGTACGGAAATCGAACATTTATCGGCGCACGTTCAATCGATCTCAGAGAAAAAGTGCACGGAATTCGCGTGGGGTTTTCGTCGATTTTCGCGGCGTTGATCGATTCGAATCGATCTTGTTTCCTTCTCTTCTTGACCGATCTGGTTTTTTTTTTTTAATAGTGTTGAAATTTAATATTAAACTCGATATTATTTAACGCGCAATTATTTATCGTCGTTTCTTACCGCGTCTACGGTGTATTATTAATTGACAACGGCAACGGCGCTGTTCGCGCTAATCTCTATCTTTTTTTCTGTGCGCGTGTATCAATAATGACCGCGTTTTTCTGCAAAACGCGATCGTGCGTTTAACGGAATGCATTCGACTAGCCCGCCCCCGGCACCCGTTTACCGATAAAACGACCCGCGACTTCCCCTATTTTCGCGTACATGCGTATACAATTATTACGTGTACCTGCATGTGTATATTGTTACCGAACGAGGTATAGCCTCGCGGTGTAAAAATAACCGAACGTGTACTACTTTAGTTCCTGTACTCGGCAATCTTACGCCGCCCCCCCCTCACCCTTTCGGGTGATCACGACGCCCGCTCACTTGTTCGAGAGATAAAAAAAATATCCTACGAATGCCTATCGCACTCGCCGAACTAACCGAATTCGTACGGTACCGGTTTATCATATCTAAATGCACATCGTGTATTTCTCGACTCAAAAATATTTCGTTTACGTATCGTTTAGTGAATCCAATAGAGCTGGAAACTCTCTCTTTCTCTCTCTCTCTAAAAACAAAAAAAAAACCTCGTGTTTGTTTATTCAAAAATATTATATCCTTGTAACACTTATACAAGTTTAAACCGTTATTAATGGCGCGTAATAATATCGTATCAGGCGAGATTTTTCTAACCAGATGTTTACTATACATAATATACAATAATATCGCGTATTATATTTACATCTCGGGTCCCCGTTTCGTTGTGTACATAACTACAGGGTGTAACATGCGAGATTTGACACTTTATATACATATATAGATAATTAACACGACCCGCAGATACTACACCCCGTGCGAGTCCCGTTAGGCTGTCAGCGTAATATCTTTGGTTTTGATGTTTTCCCGTATTCGTTTCGCGTTTACTAACGGATTCAAGTACTTGTGATATCGCCACTTATAGACGCGCGGGCGCACTGCAGTTTTGACAATTTAAAACCAACTGCGCACTGCCGTTGTTCGATTATTACGCGTGTACTCTCTTATTTGAAATTTGCAGTGTATACACATATACCGTAAATCGTAATATAATTTTTTTTAAACGTTTATTATAAATTTTCCATTATTTCAAAGTTTTCAGATTTCCACGCATGTTTAGCAATTTTTTTTTTTTAGTGCGCTGCGCAGACACGATGTTATCCCCACTAACTAGTATAGTGTACGGGAGGAAATCCGAGCGCACCGAGAATAAAATATTTATACTATAGATGCGAAAACATCATACATTTTTAGATTTAAATAGGAATGTTCTGCCGGTACTATCTCGCTCCGATTTTCGAGTGTGGTTTTACACTCGGTATACAACGCGAGTTATGGTTTTTATTAAAACGCTTTGCGAACTGCAGGAAGTCACGGTCGCGTGCATCACAAAACGTTATAACTCGCACCGTTATTATAATAATAATATAATATTACGATTATTTAAAAAAAAAACCCCGCATACCCGCCGAATAAAAAAAACGAAAATCGTATAATATAACGAACCGTATGTGTACATATATACTTTTACTATATAGGTTGTTTTTTTTTTCCTAAGCACGACCGTCGCACATCATAAGGTTGTAAGTGTTATAAAAAAAAACCGCGTGTAATAATTCGGACGTACATAAAGAAAACATCCGGACGAATATACGACGGTTGAAATATCGCGCGCGTTAAACTATACAGTCGGCTTTTTGTACGCGCAAGTCATCGCGTCAGAAATTGAAATTTCCGTCCGATCAAGTCGTCATAATGTCCAAATGTCCAGACACCGCGATAAATGCCCAGCAACGGCCATCCGGCAAGGCCGGATTATTGTGGGTCCAGCGGAACCCGGGGCCAAACTCGAAATACTCGAAAAATAGTCCCTCTCTTTGTACGCAATTTGTGTATTACAAAACGTATAAACGGACATTGTAAACGATATTAAATTTATAACATACAAACGATGACACAGCCGGCCGAAAAGTGGGACGTCACTCCCCGCCCAGGTCCCTCCCCTAAACCGGGATTGAACACAAAACGGACTTTTTGGAGAAGTCATCGACGCGTACACTAATACCGATCCCTCGTCAAATCTTACGTATTCCCCTTCTCCGGATTTCGTTCCTCAATCGTTTTTCAATTTAATTTAAATTCGTTTTTATTGTTATATAATTTTTCCGTCACGTTCTGGTCCTCCCGGATTGTCCCGACTCCCGAACAAGCACGCGAATCGTAACACGACGACCAGCCAACACATTGCAATCTTCGCTCTTCCGTTTCTACATTATTACGAGTTTTACTCTTATAGAACACTTTTACTTTAGAATACGTTCGGCGGCGTCTACCTTTCGGCATTGTTTCTCTCCGCCTCCACTGTCCGCTTTATTATCGACATCGTTCTTGGCTGGCCCGAAGATTCTGTTACAGTCGCCGTGTGTTTTGTGTACTTCGATTATAATTTCGACCCGGTGGATAAATCGCCTACTTGGAACAAGAACTCACACTTTTGACGGTAGAATTGCAAACAAATTGTCTACTGCCTATGGTGTTGTGTCAGTAGTATTGAATTCTTGTTTTATCAACCTGACGAGTACCACTTTTTTTAAATATCGACGCGTTGCTCGCTACGATAAATCATGTTTAAAATATTAACGATATGCTGAAATTTGAAATTTCCCACGACTGCCATTTTTGCCGGTTTGTATTTATTTTTTGTATATTCTGAATTTGTGTTGTTTTCATACAAACCATCGCTATAGCTCAAACTATGGCCGCCGTTTTCACCGCTATAATCTCTCGAACGTTTTGAAATGAAAATTCCGCAAAAAGTTAATGCGTTCCGAGACAATAAGTGTCTTTCGTTCACCGTTGTGTTGATCACCCTGTATAAACTGTCGAGAACCGGGACATTATGTTTCAGTATCGCGTCGCGCATAATTTCAACGTACACGGAACGCGACAAACGAATCGAAACGTGGAAATTATTTCATCGATAAAACTTATAATAAGTACGACCGCGTGCCGGTAAACATTTGAAATTCGACTTTCTGGTAACAATAACGAATTTCGATATTGCCGGGTGATATTTTACTCCCGAGCACGCGACACGTACATCCCAATCGGAAATTCACAACAGGCGCGGTGCCGCGTCAGTACTGAGTGATACTGGTGCGCTATTGCGGGCGGCCGGTAAACGCTACGCACCGGCGTATGTCTGGCACGAGAACGCTTTTGCGGTATTGGATTTTCAGTTTACCGGCCGAGTACCGACAGTCAATGCTGCGATCGCAATATATTATCGAGAAAACAAAAGTTGTCGAGAAAAAAAATACGAAAAAATTCCGCCACGGTCGGGTATCGGACCCGAGCGAGACCCCGCCCAACCTAACCTTACGCCCTGTCCACTAGACTACGGTAATGTTA